AGAGACGGGGTTTCACCATGTTGACCAGGATGGTCTTGATCTCTTGACCTCGTGATCCACCCGCCTCAGCCTCCCAAAGTGCTGGGATTACAGGCGTGAGCCACCGTGCCCGGCCTCAGATGCTTTTTAAAGATTTCTTCTGTGAAGTGCCTATTCATGCATTTTTCTCATTAAGAAAAATGGTTATTCCTTTTTCATAATCTTCCGAGAGTCATCTTAGTGGGATACGGGGAAGCAACAAGGCTGTGTGGGGTAACCTGCCACCTTTAAGTGGAAATCAGGTAACAAAGTTTCATTCACATCTTTTTTTTCCTGATTTCTGTTTTCCCTAGTGTGTGATTCAACTTATTGTTTATTGGTTGGTTGTAATCTGGATTTATATTATAATGAATTTTAGAATGAGACTTTTGTTTTAACCATAAGGCTGTATGATAGGAAACTATTATAAGAAACTGGAACAAGAAAATTATTTAATAGAAATATTCTGATTTATTCTCTTATGTTTTTAAATTAAGGTATTTTGGACCAAGAGTTTTCATGTGTTTATCCATTCATCAAATACATAAGTGCTTTCTTCATGACAGACCTAATAGTAGGCTTAGAGGATAACATAATAGTGAACAAAACCAAGATAAGCAAGACACTTGTCCTCTTAAAATATATTCAAGTAGGAAATAATGGATACTAAATAAGTAAACAATAGCTAAGCAAGATAATTAAATATAATGTTTCCAATTTTGCAGAAATGGAGCAAGAGCCACAAAATGGAGAACCTGCTGAAATTAAGATCATCCGAGAAGCATATAAGAAGGCCTTTTTATTTGTTAACAAAGGTCTGAATACAGATGAATTAGGTCAGAAGGAAGAAGCAAAGAACTACTATAAGCAAGGAATAGGACACCTGCTCAGAGGGATCAGCATTTCATCAACAGAGCCCGAGCATACAGGCCCTGGGTGGGAATCTGCTAGACAGATGCAGCAGAAAATGAAAGAAACACTACAGAATGTACGCACCAGACTGGAAATTCTAGAGAAGGGTCTTGCCACTTCTCTACAGAATGATCTTCAGGAGGTGCCCAAGCTATATCCAGAATTTCCACCTAAAGACATGGGTGAAAAATTACCAGAACCTCAGTCTTTTAGTTCAGCTCCCCAGCATGCTGAAGTAAATGGGAGCACTTCAAGTGCAGGGGCAGTTGCATCTCTCTCTTTACCATCGCAAAGTTGTCCAGCAGAAGCTCCTCCTGCTTATACTCCTCAGGCTGCTGAAGGTCACTACACTGTATCCTATGGAACAGATTCCGGGGAGTTTTCATCAGTCGGAGAAGAGTTTTATAGGAATCATTCTCAGCCGCCGCCTCTTGAGACCTTAGGGTTAGATGCAGATGAATTGATTTTGATACCAAATGGAGTGCAGATTTTTTTTGTAAATCCTGCAGGGGAGGTTAGTGCACCTTCGTATCCTGGGTACCTTCGAATTGTGAGGTTTTTAGATAATTCTCTTGATACAGTTCTAAACCGTCCTCCCGGATTTCTTCAGGTAAGCCAAAGAAAAATGGAAGCATAATTTGAAATATGTGTAGACTACCTCATTTTTATTTGTTAATGTTTATGTGTCCAGTATAAGTACAAAAAGATAACAATAAATGCTACTTTGTTTTTAAATATATTCCGTGAAATTTATCAGCCTTGAACATCTGTTTGTGTTTGATTTTCTTTTTTAAAAAAGGTATATTAATAGTTTTATTTTGGCGTTAAGTTTATGATAAAACTTGAGAAGAGTGGTCATCCTTAAATTTTTAATTCTTTATCTGAAGAAGAAACCTAGTAAGTTTAATTTCAAAAGGGATTTATGTGATACCTGTGGATGTGTAGCTGTAAATATTCACAAATATTGTGAAGACTTAGCTGAGGGTCTGAAACAGGCAAGACCCAGCCCATGGCCCAGAACAGTGGTTCTCTACCAGGGGTAATTTTGCCTCCCCAGAAAATATTTGATAGTGTCTGGAGGCATATTTGGTTGTCGTACTGGAGGTTGATTGCTACTGGCATAATGGAAAGAGGCCAGGGATGCTGCCACACGTTTACACAGGACAACCCTCATGAACAAAAAAAAATTATCCTGCCCCAAATCCCAACTATGCCAAGGTTGAGAGACCCTGGTTTAGAAGTAGAGACTGTGGTGCTACTTTCAACAGTCCAAGCAGATAAATTTACCAGAATGCACTTGGTCCAAGAGTAAAGAGTGATGCTACATAAAGGTTGGTGTCAGGGCAATGCTGTGGATTTAGTGAGGTATTCTGAAGATAGTGGTCCAGTGACAACCTGGTTTCAAAAGATTGGATGTAGGTATAGGAAGATGAGTTCTTGAAATGAGGACTCAGTGTACGTTGAGTATAACTAAGGAGTTTGCATTGAAGAAATATCACTATTTAAGCAAAGCACGTGCTTTTATCCACAGTCCAAGTAATGTGGTTTAGTAATAGCACAGGCTATCTATATTCATTTTCTCTTTCGGCATACTCTACTGTTGATTCTTGGGTAGTTTTTATGTGGCGTCAACTTGAAAGTTGTTTAAAGACAGAGGCTTACTAGCGACGTGTGAGGAAGATACTTTGAAGGCTTTATTGAAAGGAAATATTTGATACTGGTCAGGAAGTATATTTTGAATCCTGTAGATTATTTTAGGGAAGGAACCTTAAGGTTAAAAAGAGTAGACTTACTAATTAGCGTTTGTGGTGGGGAATGATAAAAGCTATAATAATTTCTAGTAATAGTGTTGCATTGCAATGATGAAATTAAAAAATCTTTGGGTCCTTAGCAACTGGAGATGGGGGTAGTGAATGGTGGAAATACTGTACTGGGGTCACATTCACTCATCCATTGAAATGACTTGTACTTCAATACACATTTGTCCTTAATGCTTTTAATTTTGTTTTTAATCTTTCTCATATCTATATTTTTTGTCCTAAATGAAAACTAAAATTTCACCCAAAATTTAATTTGAGTCTCTTTAACAGGCTATTCAGGTATTTGTAGTAGTGTGTCCTTAAAAGGAGTTACATACAGTTCACTGAATGTTTTCTTCCTAAAAAAAAAAATAATAAGACTAATAAGCCAACTGAATATTAGAAGTTAAGATACTTCCTATGCTAAAAATCACTATTGAAATCACTGTTGGTCTAAATAGGAAATTAAAGTAAGGTTTTTTTGGTTTTAGGTAGACAGAATTCTAGAACTTCCAAAAAATATTTTCTCTTGGTTTTAGTTTTAATACCAAATAGTTTTTAAACCTGTTAACTCTATAGTTAGTTTATGCAGAAATTGGACATGAGCTTGCCCTCTGAAAATGAAACTGAGAAAAATCAGGCTGTGGTGGATAAGCTCACTTATCTGTAATATCCTGTCCCAGGAAAGATCGACAAAGTATTATTTTTTTAAAGAAAATTTGGGGATATTCCAGTTCCATTAAGGTGACCAGGATATAGATAATCTGAGAGAAATCATGGAATAGTGAAGAAAAAGAACCTTTCCTAAGTTTTATTTTAGAATAACTTTTGCAGTTTTTTTTGTCAACTCCATGCTGCTATTATTACTTGCTGTATATTTTTACACTAAATTATCCCTCATCAGTTTCATCTTAATAATAACTGAAATTAAGGGAAATATGTATTTTTTTCTAGTACATATTAAAGTATATAACTACTGAAATGTTAAAAATTTGCGGATAAGACAGTATTTTAATGATAAGCACAGTTATGTTTTGGTTTCTCAAAGAAAGTATTGCATTAGAAATAAGGCAGCCAGGATGTGAGCTTAAATCCTTGTGTGTACTGGCAAGCTAACCTCCCCAGATGACGCTGCAGGAGAGCTTTTGTTATTTTGCTTTGATTTCACAATAGACAATCCATAAACATTAACTGAAGCTATTCTGTTATGTCAGGTTCACTTGGGTTTAGTACAAAAAATTATTCCACGTTGTGAGTGAGTGCTGAGTTTATACTTTCTTTGAGACACAGTCTTGCTCTGTTGCCCAACCTGGGGTGCAATGGCACAATCTTGGTTCACTGCAGCCTGCGTCTCCAGGTTCAGGTGATTCTCCTGCCTCAGCCTCCCAAGGAGCTGGAGCTAGGATTACAGGCATGTGCGACCACGCCCAGCTAATTTTTGTATTTTTAGTAGAGAAGGGTTTCACCATGCTGGCCAGGCTAGTCTTGAACTCCTGACCTCAAGTGATACACCCCCTCCCCCCATTGGCCTTCCAGAGTGTTAGGATTACAGGTATGAGCCACCTTGCCCGGCCTGTGAGTGCTGGGCTTCTAAATAAAATAATTGTTTGGCCTCTCTAGTCCAGATTGCATGTGTTAAAATCCAAGCTCCGCTTTTTAGTTGTTGATTCTAAGCAAGTTAATTGACCTCTCTGTGCCTCAATTTTTTTGTACATAAAATGACAGTAATAGTAACTGATTTCATAGGATTGTTATGAGCATTAAATCAGTAAATACTATTATTTCAGTAAATATTTCAAGTAAATAATACCTGAAAATAGTTTACCACAAAAGGAATATCTGATTAGAATATTGAAGGAAACCTTAATTTACTTTGATTATTATTTATTTAAAGCTAGAGTCATTATTGATTAACACTGGGCTATTTAAGGCCATCAGCTTTAAGATTTTATAATTAGTGGAGCTATGGCATATTTAGCGCAGTCCTTATTTCAGGAAGATTGGACTAGCAAATGATTAATTTTCCTGGGGATTTGTATATGTTGATGGTTCTATAAAGCCTTTTAAAATATGTTTCAAACTTTGAAGTGTTTATTTTCTAGTATATAACAATTTTATCAAAACATAAGTGAAAATCTAGTTTCATTCATTCGTATGTATATATTTTTTCTTCTAATGAATCCCTTTAGGTTTGTGACTGGTTATACCCTCTAGTTCCTGATAGATCTCCAGTTCTGAAATGTACCGCTGGAGCCTACATGTTTCCTGATACAATGCTACAAGCAGCAGGATGCTTTGTGGGGGTCGTCCTGTCCTCTGAGTTACCAGAAGATGATAGAGAGCTCTTTGAGGATCTGTTAAGGCAAATGTCTGACCTTCGGCTCCAGGTAACTTGTGTGATCATCTTTAGGGTGAAAAAATCTACTTTAACATAAGCACTTCTGCTTTTAGAGAAACTGTAATAACCTTTACTGTGATCAAGGTTAGGAGACTGAAAGTTTATCATTTGTTTGTGTATTCACAGCTATGTGCTTGGAATTTGCTGTAAATAGCGGTTAAGATTGTGAGCCCTAGAGTCAGATTGCCTGTATATGAATTAAAACTCTTCCTGTTAATAGCTATTTAGCTCAGCTGTTACTGATCTTCTCTACACTTTAATTTACTTATAAAATAGGGTTATAACAATGTCCACCTCACTGGGCTGTGGTGAAAATCAAAAATTCATACATTAAGTACATATATCAGTGTCAGCAAGTAGTAATGCTCTGTGAATGTTAGCTATTGTTTCCACTACTGTTTTTCTGCTCATCTGGAAAAGTGAACTAATGGGACTAAATGGTTATGGGAAGATAATTTTAGCTTTAGTAGATGGGTTATGTTAGATATTTTAAGGGGCATGGTTGGCATTCTGAGGAAGAAACAGGTTTTGGTTGAGATGATTATCTTTGTTCTTGTGGTAAATGAAGGCCAAATAAAAAGAAAATACGATTTAAAATATGGTCATCCTGAAACTTTCCTTATTTGACATGTTTCCTTTGTCCACATATGTACCTGTAGAAATAGAGTATCTCTGTTTAACAGGGAATTTGAATAGAGTATTGTGGAGAGACTTTATATATTCTTGTAGCAAAAGAGAAAAATATTTTTGATTATGAATATTGACAGTCATCTGGAGTTGAATGAGGTTGGCATTATGATAGTATAATCTTTTATTCTCTCCTTCAGTCAGCAGATATTTGGAATTCATTAATCAGGTACTATGTTAAGTGGTGGGATGGGCAAAGTATGAGAACAGAAGACCACAAAGGTGGGGGATATAAATATAAAATCAGCCCCTGTTCACCTGAGAATGACCTACTGGTCAACAAACCAGTATGTTAGCATAGCAGCAGTTATTTGAAAAAATACAAGATCCACATACAGAAGTGTGTAGCCTCATTGTACTTGTGGGGAGGAATTCACAAAGGCAGGAATATGGTCAAATAAAAGAGATCATCTTCACTTCAATGTTTACTAACTGAATGAAATGATGCTCTCAAGTATTCACAGACCTAATATATGGAACCATTTCTCCCTTCACCCGTGTATTAACTGGACCTGTGTTACTGGGCTTTAGGAAAGAAACTAAGCAGACTTTTAGATTGTACATTTATTTTCTCTGTTCAGTTTTATTTTTCGGTTGTATGTTATCTTTAGCTTGCTTTACTGTCCAGAACTTCACCTGTAAACATAAGCTAGTTACTAGCTATAATTTTGACTTGTTTTTACTCTTAAGCATTCATTCAGCAAAGTGTATATTATGTAGAAAATTTAAATGTCAACCTTCCAGCTGGGCGCAGTGGCTCATGCCTGTAATCCCAGCACTTTGGGAGGTTGAGGCGGGCGGATCACTTGAGATCAGGAGTTTCAGACCAGCCTAACCAACACGGAGAAACCCCGTCTCTACTAAAAATACAAAATTAGCTGGGCATGGTGGTGCATGCCTGTAATCCCAGCTACTCGGGAGGCTGAGGCAGGAGAATTGCTTGAACCCGGGAGGTGGAGCTTGCAGTGAGCCAAGATTGTGCCATTGTGCTCCAGCCTGGGTAACAAGAGCGAAACTCCATCTCAAAAAAAAAAAAAAAAAATTAACATTCCAATAATGTGTAATAAAGCGGACATGAGTTTTGTTAATTGCCTGTAAATTCATTTTGTCTTGTATATGTTACCTAAAATTTATTCATTGATTGAATTTAAGTGTAGCTGCATCTGATTTAAAGATAACTTGTACCAACAACTGCTGTAAGTTGTCTTTTCTACTTTATGTTTTGAAACTTACTTAGGCATATGCTATGAACCAAAGAACTCAGAGGTTTGGGGTTTGGTGATGAGACAAAACAAGAGTATAGAGAAAAAAGCAAAAGTAGTTGTTATTTATAGACTGCCAAACTCACATTCAAACAAGTATGCCATTTGAGCATGGTGTAATATAGCTGGCAGAAAGTCATCAAAGAAAAATTCTGATTTGAGCTAAGCTTAAACCTTTATTCTCTAGGCCAACTGGAACAGGGCAGAAGAAGAAAATGAATTCCAAATCCCTGGAAGAAGTAGACCCTCCTCTGACCAACTGAAAGAAGCCTCTGGCACTGATGTGAAACGGTTGGACCAGGGCAATAAGGATGTACGTCATAAAGGAAAACGTAGCAAAAAGGTAAGTAAGAGAGTAGTGTGTGTGTTGTCTTCTAATAGTACCTTTTTCCAGTTTCATATATTTATATAGTTGTATTCCCATATACTAAAAGCAAAGCAACTTGTGCATAGTCAACATAGTGATCACTGGCAAAAAGAATTAGAATCAGTTGTAATATTTCCCTTTTATAGTGTGTATTACTAAACTACTTTAAAAGATACTGTGTGTTTGGGGGATAGATTTTTTTTTTCCCAACTATTTGAGAGATTTTATTTTTTTTGAGACAAGGTCCTGCTTTGTCACCCAGGCTGGAGTGCAGTGCCGCAACTATGGCTCACTGCAGCCTTGACCTCCGGGGCTCAGATGATTCTCCCACCTCAGCCTCCACAAGTAGCCAGCACTACAGACATGAGCCATCAACTTGGCCAAAAGATTTTTATATTTGCATTAATGATTCACGTAACTTTCTTATTTTCTATTGTTCTCTGCCTTCCTATATTCACCAAGAGCTTGGAGCTAAATATGCTACTGTCTCTCTTTTTCTTACATTTTGACACTTTTATTCAGTTTCTTGTTTTTTTGTGGATGGGCAACAGGACAGAGATTTGATTTTTAATAATACATTGAGTGGTTTCTTCTTTCATTTCATAGGCTCTGAGTATGTGATATACTCTAACGGATATATTTGGATTATTGTTCAGGAAATATTGAGTGCTAGAATTTTAAGCATAGATAGTGGAAAAAGTTTAAATTTCTTGACTCAATGAACTTACTGTCTAATGGGAAGGACAGATCAGCAAATAGATCATTTCTATCCAATGTTGCCATTACATAGAAGATACAGCCTAGCCTAATAGATAAGTGTGGGTGGATGAGTCGTATGGGAAGCAGTGAGGAGCTCCCTCCTACAGGACATTATAGCTAAGATGAGTCTTGAAGGATAAAGAAGAGTTGGCTATATGAATAGCAAATTGAAAGGGATTCTAGGCAGAAGTGGTAATATAAGCAAGTGTATGAATAAAGCAATGTTGTCTTGAGTATCATATAACAGACAGTTTAGTATTCCCTGGAATTTATTGCTGTATTCCATATGGTAAATGCTCAGTAATTATCTTAGGAATTGATGAATATCATGTGAATATCCTACATTTATTTGCAAAGTATCACTGTGGTTTATGTTGAGTATCTTAGACCAGCTATATGAGGATATTGGGAGTCCAGAATGGTTCCAAGAAATATATTTTACTTAAACATTTTTTTTTAAAGTTAATCACAAGGGTACAAAAGAATATATGGTGAAAAGTAAGTTGCCCCCATTCCTTTTCACCAACCACCTAGCTCCCCTGTCCAGACACATAATTTTTTTTTTTTCCGAGTCTCGTTCTATCACCCAGGTTGGAGTGCAGTGGTGTGATCTCAGCTCACTGCAACCTCCGCCTCCCGGGTTTAAGCAATTCTTGTGTCTCAATCTCCCGAGGAGCTGGGATTACAAAGGTACCTGCCACCATGCCCGGCTAATTTTTGTATTTCTAGTAAAGATGGGGTTTCACCATATTGGCCAGGCTGGTCTTGAACACCTGACCTCAGGTGATGCCCCCACCTTGGCCTCCCAAAGTGCTGGGATTACAGGTATGAGCCAGCATGCGTGGTCTCAGACACATAATTATTAACTTCTATTGTCCTTCTAGGTATATTTTATGCACAGTTAAATATATGTATACACACACAAATAATATTTAACATAAATGGTGGCATGTAAAACATAATGTTTTGCTCTTTGGTTTTTTACTTAACATTATATTTGGAAATTCTTCCATATCATTTAGAACTTCATGTTTTAAAATATAGTTTCTTGTTTTAAAAAAATCAAATGATATTAAACAGTATGTGCAGTTAAAAGCTTTAGATTTTACTTATGGGTGACTTTTATCCCATGTAGAACTTCTTTTGTTTAATGTTGTTATTATATTTTATGTGACATTCTTTGTATTACTGGCCACTTTGACTTTCAACTTATTTTATGATATTAATACTATGAGGCCTGAGTTAGCCTGCTTCTTATTTTTTAGAATGAGTTCATTTAGCTTTGAGAGTTTGGGTGTTGGCCCAAGCTCTCTTAACAGCTGCTCAGTTAGCAAAGTACAGATATTTCTATGTTCCACCTAAATGGAATAGCAGATTATTCTGTGTTTATATATTCCGTCTTGTTTCAAATTAGACGTTTGTTTGACCTCTGCCAAAACCAGTTAGTGAATTCATCTTTGCTTACTGATTGAGTAATTTAACAAAAATCTTTTAATCTTAACTGAGTACCATGTACACACTAATCTCTAGGGATGATAACTGTTTGAAGGCAATCAGTCTAGTCCAGAAAAGAAAAACGTCAGTTTAAATGATTTGATAAATCCATATTGGACTTACATTGGAATTTAAATCTTACCACTCAAGATGTATATGGACCAGAACAGTTTTCAACTTCATGGCAATTCTAGTATTACGCTTTATAAGATCATACTGGTAACTAGGTTGGATGGAGATACTTTTCATTAATTATATCTAGTATTTGTTGGCTTCATATTTATTATATAATGCTTACAATTTTTCCCCCTCTTAGTGCTAACTCTTCACATTTTGAAACATTTTTACTATTTAGGCTAAAGATACTTCAAGTGAAGAAGTTAATCTGAGTCACATTGTACCATGTGAGCCAGTTGCAGAAGAAAAACCAAAAGAATTACCTGAATGGAGTGAGAAAGTTGCTCACAACATTTTGTCAGGTATTACTGTAATGTTAACTTTTCCCCTGTCTAGCATGAAGCCTTTGGAACCAAATATACTGTTTATTAGGGATTACTGAGAAAGATATTTTGGTTTTAAATAATCAATTTAGAAATAAATGTAGAAGGAACTAGTCTTTTAAAAATATCTGATATTGTCGTACAGGTATAAATTCTTCCTGGCCTATTCTGTTTTTCTGTTGGGAAAATGGATAGTGAAAAGCTTCAGGACTCTTCAAACTCTTAATAGTTCTGAATCTAAAATTGGTTACCTTCCTTTCCCCTTTGAAGCTCCCTCTTATCCTCCCCTGACCCCTATCCCTCAGCTGTGGTCAGTGTGTCCCTTCAAAATTTATATATTGAAATCCTAATCCCTGAGGCGATAGTTTTAGGAGGTGGGGCCTTTGGAAGGTGATTAGGTCATAAGGGAAGAGCCCTCACCAATGGGATTAGTCCCTTATAAAAGAGGTCCCAAAGAGCTGCCTTGTCCCTTTCACTATGTGAGGAGTCAGTAAGAAGGTGCCATTCTGTGAACCAGGAAGTGGGCCCCTCAGCAGATACCAAATCTACCAGCACCTTAGTCTTGTACTTCCCAGCCTCCAGAGTTGTTAGAAATAAACTTTTGTTGTTAATAAGCTACCAGTTCATGATGTTTTGTTACAGCAGCACAAATGGACTCAGATACCCACCCAAAAAATAAGAACATATTCATTCATCTTTGGAAGCAAAGCAGCACTGCCTAACTACACAGAAATGCAGACATGAGAACATCTGAGGGTTATAACCAAGCCCTTTGAGAAGTAGTCTCTAGTGTTTAATTGTGGTTATAAAGGGCTTCAGATCAATTATTCGGAAATCAGAATGATCATTAGTGACATATGTCTTTCTACTTTAATTGGTTAACATTTCATGTAGCTTTTTAGCTGTAGTGACTCTCTGATTTATACCTTTTATTTTGTTTTTAAAAAAACATTGCCAGTCACCATTCAGTAAGTCAAATTCATAACCCCATTAAATAGGTCTTGACTCATTTAAACGACTGTCAATTCAAGTTTTCATGTTCGCTAAAATCCATTTTAAAAGATCTATTATAAAGCAGAGGAAATCTTCAACATAAAAAACCAACAAGCTAAAATAATTAGCTACCAAGAACGAATAAAATATTTTTTCTAGTGCCAAAGAACTATACTTGAGACAAGACAAAAAGATAAAGCCAAATTTTCAAATGTAATTGCATTAGTTAAAATTGACCCTTGAAAGAGATTTACAAAGAAATAGCAATGAAAAACCTTTTCACTTTTACTACCCTACCCCCTAACTTTATAGGCTGCTAAGCATTATTATTTGGAGGCCATTATTCAGAAAACTTGCCTGTCACCCCCACACACTAAATTCAGAGGTCTTTTTCCCAAGTTTTTTGAGTTTATACTGCTATAAGTTTGTTCCATTTACTATTGCTATCTAACAAACTGCCCCAAACCCAAAGGCACAAAGCTATAATTTTTTTCTGCGGAATTCAGTGAGCCAGGTATTTGGAAAGGTCACAGCAGGAATGGCTTGTATCTCTTTCATGGTATCTAAGGGCTTCATCTGGGAAGACTCAAAGGTTAGCTAGTGACTTGACAGCTGAGAACTGGAATCATTGCTGATACCTCTAGCGTCTAGGCTGGGAGAGGTCAAAGCCTAGAACTGCCAAATAGAGAGTCTACACATGGCCTCTTGTGGCTGGACTTCCACCCAGCGTGGTGGGTTTAGGCTAGTCTGGCTTCTATATGGTGACTTGGGGCTTCAAATGTGAATCAACCAGTGAATATACAGAAGCTGCATTACCGTTGCTGACATATTCTTGGAAATTTCCAGCATCACTTGGTTAAAAGCAAGCAACAAGCTTGCCCAGATGCAAGAAATGTGACATAGACCCCACTTCCCACTGGGATCATATGGATCATATGTCAGGATCATATTGGAAAGATGAACATTCAGAAGAGGAGACACTGTTTGTGGTTATCTTTAGAAATTACCAGCTGCCACTAAATCTCAGGCCTCCTAGATACTATGGTTACCACACAGTGGTGCTAAGCAGTAGAGCCAGTTAATCCTTGGAAGAGATCTCTTTGGAGATTTTAGAAGAACTCTCAGCAGTGCCTAATTTTAAAACAAGCAAAAACTGTGTTCTGGTAACACTCCAAGGCCTTCTTTATTACTTAAGACCTCTCAGTTTCTTAATGCCAGTACCTCTTTTCCTTTTTATCCTGTACCTTCAGGGCTGGGGTTCTAGTAATATCCCTCATAGTTGGTGACTATAAACCATTTAACTGCCTATCAGTGTATGTCTCTTTATGAGCTTTTTAATATGTAGAATAACTAGTTCTTCAAATGCTTACGGTACAAGGAAAACAAAGGGAGGGGGCAGAAAATAATAAAGATTTACTCTAGGGAAAATGATCTGAATCAAGAGACTATTTTTACCTGACCCATTCAATCTGAGTTCAAAAGGAATAACTAGGGCTATAAATTGAGCTCATTCATCTTAGCCCATAGTTGGTGCCTGTCCACTGTCGAAGAATAAGTAAAGATCACTAAAAGCTACTCTGAGGTTTTCCTAATATAAAAAGTGAAAAAAGTAAAACAACCATGCTTCAAGTTTACCTGTATAGACTTGAGAAACCTAGACTTAACACTTTAAGAAGTCAGGGGCTATACAGTTATCAATGGAGTAGGGCCTAGTAAGCTAATTTGAGGAGTTAGAGGGTTGCCAACAGTAGACTGATGGAGCCTACCTTTGGAGCAACCTACCTTCAACCATTCTGAAACACTTTAGAGGTTGTGAGATAGCAAAAGATCATCAGGAGTGTTTGTCGCCTCTCAACCTCCTAATCTTTCCCAATTTAATTTACAGATGGACTCTGGAATGCTAGGCAAACAATTGACATGGAGTGAGACAGAATGATCACTTTCTGCCTACCTATTCCAACATATCTGAGGGCTGAGAGTGAACAGAAGGGAGGCAACTATGATGCCTCCCTAAAGTTTCTCCAAGATTATGCATTTCTTTTGCTACCCTTTTGTGCTTCTAGGCCCTGATAAAAACTTTTCCATTTTGGTTAATTCAGTCTGTTAAAGAATAGACAAAGAAGTCCTCCTATTCTTCAGTAGATTCTTTGTGAAACTCCATTGGGTGGCACAGTCTTCCAGCTGTCAGATCCACAAAGATCTTTATTCTAGCGTAAATTAAATAAAATGAACAAAACATCAAAAAGCAATCATATATTCAACTTATACTTTGATGGGTATAGGATGGTTAAGTGCTAAAACATAATTTCTAGGTTTTTAGAGGACCACATCAAACATAAGATACATGTCATGTGATTGGGAATTCAGTAGCCTTGTGGTAGCCAGTTTTCTGCTAGTTTTCCACTGCTGTTAGCCAGAGATAAAGAATATCAAAAGCTGAAAATAGGTCAATGTTCTAAACTCATATTTCTTATGGTAAAATTATTAAAACTTATCAGAAAAGTTGAGCTCTATGTAATTTTAGAGGTCAGTTAGCTTTTTACCAGGAGAGAAAGCTGAGATTTGGAACTTATGTGTTTTTTTGTTTTTGTTTTTGAGACAGAGTCTCACTCCATTACCCAGGCTAGAGTGCAGTGGCACCATCTCAGCTCACTGCAACCTCCGTCTCCCAGGTTCAAGTGATAGTCCTGCCTCAGCTTCCTGAGTAGCTGGGACTCCAGGCGTGTGCCACCATACCATGCCCAGCTAACTTTTGTATTTTTAGTAGTGACAGGATTTTGCCATGTTGTCCAGACTGGTCTCGAACTCCTGACCTCAGGTGATCTGCCCACCCTGGCCTCCCAAAGTGCTAAGATTACAGCTGTAAGTGACCATGCCCAGCCAGGGACGCCTGTTTTTAATAACAACCATAAATGATAGCTTTCTTTTGTTCAGTAAAAGTGGACAGTGTCCTAAAAGCTGTAGCAGTTAGGTTTGAGTTAGGTAATTTTAACATCTGCCAGTGTCTCATTTATTCAACAATCATTCATGGTCTGCCATACTACAGCATTAATTAAGTGCATAGGATGCAGACGTGAACAGAATCAATCTATATCTGCATTGTCCATGCCATTTAAAATATCTAAGTGGTTACCAATGAAATGTTATATTTCCTCATTTTCTGTTGCTGTGTTTACAGTTTTAACATACTTACGTATGCTGTATACTTCCATGGTGATATGTTGTTGATTATTTGCATGTAGAATTTCTCATTAGTGCTATGACTTTTTGTTGATCTCATTTCCATTTATTTTTCTTAGTCATCATTGTACTTCATCCCTTTTATTTCTTATAGTGTCATTATAGGATTGTAGTCTCCTTTGTTTCATTGTCATTTGTTTTACAGTTTCTCAGTTTCCAAGTTCAGCTGGTTTCTTACTTCTTAAAACTTTTCAACTTATAAGTTAATCTAAAAAGATAATTTTTTAAATGACTTCTTCAAGCCTTCTATTGTTTATGGCGCCTGTTTGTTTGGATTTGAATCCTTCACTTCCCCAGAAGTTGATTGTCAGGTAGGACAGTGTGGGTAGGCTTGGAGCTGGAGGTGGAGATGTTGACTAAAACAGGAAGAGAAACATAAAATTTCTAATTACTTATTATATGCCACTTTTCATTGTTAACATTTTAAAATAAACTGGTATGATTTTCACATGATAGCTGGATGCTTACTCATGGGCTGGAGTAATCAATCATATAAAACCATGCCACAGACCTTGAGAACATACTTAAGTATTTCGTATGTTCAACTTTGAAAGCTTATTGTTAAGGGTTAGCCAAAAAAGAAGTATTTTCAATTGGAAGTCTCTGCAAAGTAGGGTAATACTTCTTCCCATCTTAGGGGACACTGTTCTTGTATATTTTTTTCTTTTCTCATCCCTCTCCCGATCTTCCTTTCCCCACATTCCCACTGACTCAGGACCTTTTGTCCTCACTAGAGAAGGCCCTTCCATCCTTCTGTTCCTCTGGTAAGCACTTCTGTCATTGAAGCTGTGAGAAGCATAAGCAAACCAAAGGGCTAGGGCCCACTCTCATGAGAAATGGCTAAATTATCTGGGCCTCTCTCTTCTCTTTTAGATTTTCTCTGCTCATGCATTTGGGTGTTGCCATGTTTTTGTCATTTAGGTTTATGTAACAAGCTAAATGGTGCTGAGATCCAAGAGTTTGGGTTTAGGATTGAGAAAGGAACAGGACCCCCTGAGTAATGCTTTCAGTCTAAAGGAAGTAAGAGTTCTGCTTTGGTGTTTTGAGATACAGTTCTTTGATTTCCATTTTGTGATGTTTCTGTCTTTCTCCCTCAGGATTTCATGGGGAAAAGTGGTGCCTGGCCTAAGGCAAAAAGAACAAGAGTATCTGGGTTCTTTAGCCAAATCCTATTTTAATGGCACCGAAACTCAAAATTAATACCTAACAGTAATATACTGTGGTAAATAACATACAGAGATACCTACAAGTTGTCATGGCAGCATAGAGTAGTGCAGAACTCTGTCACTGAGTGACATGTGACCTAAGTATTCAAATATTAGTTAGAAAAGGTATATATTCTAGGAAGCAAACTGTAGGTATAAAGTTAGCTTGAAAGTTTATGACGTGGCACACTTAGCATCTGATTATCAAACTCCTTTTATTTTTTTCTGGTTGATGTTATTAAAGTGTTTAAAGTATAATTAGACCTAATATTATAAAATTTTTTAATTTTCTTTTAAAAAGGTGCTTCCTGGGTGAGTTGGGGTTTAGTCAAAGGTGCTGAGTTTACTGGCAAAGCAATCCAGAAAGGTGCTTCTAAACTCCGAGAACGGATTCAACCAGAAGAAAAACCTGTGGAAGTTAGTCCAGCTGTCACCAAGGGACTTTATATAGCAAAGCAAGCTACAGGAGGAGCAGCAAAAGTCAGTCAGTTCCTGGGTAAAGTAATTCTAGATAACTTTACTTCTTTAAAGTTAAATTTAAAATAATGTCTTCATCCAGGTTTAATCTGCATGTTCATTTAGATGGTTTAATCTCAAGAATAAAGAATTAGGACAAAGCAATTTCTCTTTGTTATTCATAGTGGGACCTGCAGACCAGCAACATCACATGGGCCTATCTGGAAGCCTTAGAAATGCAGAATTTTAGGCACATACACACCTACTGATTCAGAATCTGCATTTTCACAAGATCCGTAGGTGATTCTTATTTGCATATAAAAGTTTGAGAACTGGTTAAAGGGTTGTTTTGATGTGTTGGAGTGGAGAATGTGTGTATCTTTGAAAAAGAGTTCTGAATGTACAGTCATGTATTTAATGAGGGGAATAAGTTCTAAGAAATGTGTCATTAGGTGATTTCATCATTGTGTGAACATCATGGTGGATACTCACACAAACCTAAACGTTACAGCCTACCCCACACCTAGGCTGTATGATATAGCCTGTTGCTCCTAAGCTACAAACCTATACAGCATGTGACTGTACTGAATACTATAAGAAATTGTAACACAAAGGTAAGTGTTTGTCTACTTGAACACATGTAAACATGGAAAAGGTACGGTAGGACAGTAGGAATGCAGTATAAAAGATAAAAAATGGCTTAAAACCTGAGAGAGCACCTACCAGGAATGTCACTTGCAAGACTGGAAGTTGCTCTGAGTGAGTCAGTGAGTGAGTGCTGAGTCAATGTGAAGGCCTAGGACATTACTATACATTGTTGTAGACTTTCTAACACTGTACATTTGGGCGACACTAAATTTATTTTAAAAACAAAGTAATTGCACTATGATGTTAAGGTGGCTGTGCTGTTACTAGGCAATGGGACTTTATCAGCTCCATTATAATTTTATGGGACCACGAAATGTCTGAAATGACCAAAAGGTCATTACGCAGCACAGCTGATGTGAACCCTTGAATCCTTCTAAGGGATATGACATATTCTTTCAAGGAGAACAGTTTATTGCCTAGCAGTTGAGGGTCAAGAGGGAGGGATCTGTTGTTTGAGAAAAGCTGACTTAGTCATTCTGGTGCCAGCTTTCCCAAGCAATATGCTTCTAACCCCTTGCTCTTAGAGAATCACAGCACTGAAATTTGGTGTTTTGAGATGGGTAGATAGGACCTTAATGGATTACCATTAAATTTAGTAAAATTATCTTTTTTGATATTTAGTATTTTTTGAATCAGATTTTGGATTGTTTACTTTTATAGAATTAAACACTTTACTGTTATTTCACTGAGTTCATGGAGATATTTATTGATAGAAAAATATGAATACACTAGGCTGGGTACGGTGGCTCATGCTTGTAATCCCAGCACTTTGGGAGGCCGAGGTGGGTGGATCACGAGGTCAGAAGATCAAGACCATCCTGGCTAACATAGGAAACCCCCATCTCTACTGAAAATACAAAAAATTAGCCGGGTGTAGTGGCACGCACCTGTAGTACCAGATACCCAGAAGCCTGAGGCAGGAGAATGACTTGAACCCGGGAGGTGGAGGTTGAAGGGAGCCAAGATTGCGCCACTGCACTCCAGCCTGGGTGAGAGAGTGAGACTCTGTCTCAAAAAAAAAAAAAAAAAGAAAAGAAAAAGTAAATACATTAAGCTGGAAAAAACTAAAAGTACTGATCAGTCTTGCATTGTAACAGTCAAAGAAAAGGCAGCTGGTGTTCTAAAACAGAAGTACAAGAACATGTATATCCAAGAGGCAAGGTTATAAACATCAGTAGGCTCTGCAAACACAGCTTTAAAACAAACAAAAGCCTTTGTTTAAAAAATAGCCAGTCTATGCTGCATGCCTATAGTCCCAGCTACTCAGGAGGCAGAGGCAGGAGGATCACTTGAGCCCAGGAGTCCAAGTCAAGGCCAGCCTGGGCAACACAGTGAGACCTTGGCTCTAAGCTTCATATCCTTAAGTAGCAATTGTAACATTATATGGTAAAACAATTTTAGATGCTCATTTAAGAATGTTGCAAGATGAGTGGTAAAAATCAAGGGAATAATATATTTTTCCTAAGTTTTCTTTTTTTACGGTCCTATTAGTAGATGGAGTTTGCACTGTAGCAAATTGCGTTGGAAAAGAACTAGCTCCACATGTCAAGAAGCATGGAAGCAAACTTGTTCCAGAATCTCTTAAAAAAGACAAAGATGGGAAATCTCCTCTGGATGGTGCTATGGTTGTAGCAGCAAGTAGTGTTCAAGGTAACAAAGGGGCCCAGCATTTTAACTAGGAATGTCTGTTTGCTTTGGACTAGATTTACTTACTTTTAAATATTATTTTTACAGGATTTTCAACTGTCTGGCAAGGATTGGAATGTGCAGCTAAATGCATTGTTAACAATGTTTCAGCAGAAACTGTACAAACTGTCAGATACAAGTAAGTTGAATTTTATCATTTTAATGACTAAATCTCTTGTAGCATTTGTAAAAATTTATGACAGTGAAGATATTTCTATTAAGTATTTAATAAAATAATTTTTTTCACTCTGCTTTTCTTAAATAGGGAGAATAATATTTCTAGTATAATAATAGAATTCTTACCACTTTGCTTTATATTACTAATTGTTACAAGCATTTGTTCATCATTACAGTAAAGAATAGGTTTAATTTTTTTAAAAGCTTGGAATTTCTATATACCTTATTAACTAGCTACATGTTTTTGCTGGGTAATATCTGCCTGAAAAAACTTGAATTATAATTAAACTGTTACACCCCTTGTTAATATTAGCGTACTCTGTATACAGACTGTTAAATTATGTCACATCTTACTTGACTTTGATTACCACTGTACATTTGTATTGGAATGGGTAGATGGTATATCTTCAATTTCATATATCAAGAAATGGACAAACAAAAATGAATGATTTGTACATGCTCACCTGATTAGTTTATCAGTGCTTTCTCATTTGGCCTCAAGGTCTGTCCCTGGAGAGCGGCTGTAAATTCTAGTTCTGCTGTGTTGTGGGTCAAGAGGAAAAGCTCATCATGTTTGCACTGTGCCTTTCACAGGATACTTCTTTATCCTGGCACACCCATGACCAGGTGTCCCTCTCTCAGGGAACTTATTTATGGCAGACGCCCTTGTGGCTCTTGTCTGACCTGTGTTCAGTTTGTTCCTACTAAGATAGCCACGCTCTAGGAGACCCGGACTAAGAGGAGAGCAAGGTTTGGGTGTGTTGCTCAGGTGAGACACAGAGAAGGCGGCACAACCACACACATTAAATAACAGAAGCATTTTATTACAGATCTTTGAGAGAAGAGGGGTGCCCACGAAGGCCAACAGGAAGTCTGGAGACAGCAGAGTGCTCAACCAGTGTCTGGGTGGGGGTTGAACAGGGAGCACGAGCAAGGGAGAGGCGATTTGTATGACTGCCTTCATGAAGGTCCATGGGTGTTCTTTCTTTGGCTTTCCAGTGGGGCTTGGATTGTTTATCTTAAAGCAAACAAGTGTGAACAGGGGAACTCATTTACATGACTCTAGTTTTATGTGACTCTAGTGTTGGACCGTTGGGTTTTCTTGTGGTCAGAAGCTGTGGGGTATCCTGAGTTTTGAGTCAGTGAGATGAGAAACAAGTGGACTGTATTGCAGACAAGCACATGGGGAGGGGGAAGTTTTAACTAGGCCAAAGGTGATGGGATGCAGCTAGGTTTCAAGCAACTTATGTCAGGCCTAAAAATGAATGCTGAAGCAGCAACTATATAACAAATTTAGGACAAGTGTTATTAAAGGTGAGATTTAAAGCAGGGTCTTCTGCTTTTAGGTCCTTAGCCTTTCTACCTGATTCTACTTTCTTTACACAATACTAGAAGAATCAAGGTCTAAAAACTAAATCTAGTATGAAGGACCTGAGTTGCTTTATTAGCCTTGAATTAGTTTGGATCTTACTGTTTATTTAGAAAGAAAAAATAAGAGTAATATTAATAGTATTCACAACTCTTGGTTATTGTGTTAATTATACACTTACTGAAAGCATTTAGTTGAGTTCTTATTTTTGTATCAGTCACTGTGTTCATTGCTTTTCATATGTATTATTTATTTTCAACACTGTTATCGTCCCCATTTTACAGATGAGGAAACCAAAATGTAGAGTTAAATACCTTGTTAAAGATGACTCTCCTAGCCAGGCACAGTGGCTCATGCCTCTAATCCCAGCACTTTGGGAGGCTGAGGTAGGCGGATCACCTGAGGTTGGGAGTTCAAGACCAGACTGAGGAACATGGAGAAACCCTGTCTCTACTGAAAATACAAAATTAGCTGGGTGTGGTGGCACATACCTGTAATCCCAGCTACTTGGGAGGATGAGACAGGAGAATCACTTGAGCCCAGGAGATGGAGGTTGCAGTGAGCCAAGATTGTGCCATTGCACTCCAAACTGGGCAAAAAGAGCAAAACTCCATCTCAAAAGGAAAAAAAAGACTCTCCTAGTGAGTAGTAAAGCTGAGATATAAACCAAGTGTTTCTGTCATCAGAACCTATGCTCTACAGTGCTAATTTAATTTCCATCCTTAATTGGTTTGATCTTCTCTGTCTGGGGCAGGTGTACATTTGTTTGGTTGTTTGGAGATAAGAAATAGGGATTACTGGGCCAGGAGCGGTGGCTCACGCCTGTGATCCCAGCACTTTGGGAGGCCGAGGCGGGCGGATCACAAGGTCAAGATATCGAGACCATTCTCACCATGATGAAACCCCATCTCTACTAAAAATATAAAAATTAGCCGGGTGTGGTGGCACGCGCCTGTAGTCCCAGCTACTCGGGAGGCTGAGGGGGAAGAATCGCTTGAGCCCAGGCGGCGGAGGTTGCAGTGAGCCGAGATTGCGCCACTGAACTCCAGCCTGGCGACAGAGCAAGACTCCGTCTCAAAAAAAAAAAAAGAAATAGGGATAACTTTATTTTTAAATTTTTTTATAATTTCAACTATTATAGATTAAAGGGTACATGTGCAGGCTTGTTACATAGGTATATTGTGTGAGGTTTGGGGTACAAATGATCCGATCACTCAGGTAGTAAGCGTAGTACCCAGTAGATGGTCTTTTAGCTCACAGTTCCCCTCTCACCCCGCCTAGTAGTACAGTGTCTATTGTTGTCATCTTTATGTCCATGAGTACCCGGTATTTAGCTCCCACTTATAAGTGAGAACATGTAGTTTTCTGTTTCTGCATTGATTTGCTTAGAATAATGGCCTCCAACTACATCTATGTTGCTGCAAAGGACATGATTTCATTCTTTTTTAGGGCTGTGTAGTATTCCATGGTGTATATGTACCATGTTTTCTTTATGCAGTCCACCGTTGATGGGCATCTAGGTTGATTCCGTATCTTTGCTGTTGTGAATAGCGTTGCATTGAACATGCAAGTGTATGTGTCTTTTTGGTAGAACAATTTGTTTGCTTTTGGGTATATATCCAGTAATGGGCTTGGTAGTAATGGATCAAATGGTAGTTCCGTCTTAAGTTTTTTGAGAAATTTCCTAACAGTGGCTGAACTAGTTTACATTCTGGGGCATACATACCTTTGAATCAAAGCAACATGGCATATCATCTTGGAGTGTCAGTTTTACCAGAAGAGTTTAAAAATAAAACATACAATAGATCTAAAATTCTTCTGATAGAAATATAAAACTCTGGCCTTCCAACTCACTTCTTATCTCTTGTGGCACTGAACTCTGACTAATATTTATTCATTGTTTTATGCCCCTGAGGTTACTTTGGATCAGTCATAATTAGAAAAATAGCAAGAACAGGAGAAAGTCAGAAATGCCTTTTAGGCCAAAAGATTACCATATTAGAAGATAGGAAGTGCTTTATTGGGTTTGTCCATGTCCTACTCTAATGGAAAAAAAATATGTAACTACAATTAATAAAAGTTTGAGATTCACATAACTAGGAAATACTGAATTTTAATGTAGATTTTGAATTTCTGGTCCTTAATGAGGAGAACTTAATGTGATGAATAGCGTATTTTTAACAGTGATTCTCAGCTCATTTATTTCTATTGTATTATTGCTATTCTTTTTATCCTTCCAAAGATTCATGGAATTTTTTTTTTTTTAAAAAGCAGGTAAGTGATAATTTAGTTAAGTAGTGTTGTATTTCTAACTATGAGGACGATTCATTCTTTGCAGTAATTTAGTTTCTGCTATTAGAAATTTAGGAAGATGGGAGAGGTAGTAGAGAATAAAAGGTTTTATTTAAGTAATACTATTTCTCACCTGTGGAGCTAATCAGGCCCAAAGTAGAAAATGTCTTTTAAGAGAAGAAACTAAAAGTGTTGAACCAGTAATAACTTATTGATAGAACTGAAGAAATGGAAGAGCTTGTTGTACCTTTGTTTAATTTTGTTCTTATTTATTTACATACACTTAGGTTTATTTATACTGTTCTGTATTTAAATTTACTATCAAAAATTTGATATACTGACCATTTGTGGAGCACTCTAATCCAACTGATGGTAGTATAATAAGGAAAATTTGTGTTTTCATTGCCTATGCTCTCCAAAGTAGTTATTTTAAATGTGCCTTAATTTTATGCCTGGAAGAAAACCAAATGTATTCTATAAACTTCCTTATCTGATTTCAGGTGGATAAGCCAGTACAGAGGATTAAATAACCATTGTTCTTAAAATTTTTAGGTAAATGCATAGAAACTATTAAGATTCAGTTTATTTTTGTCAGTTACATTAATACTTTCATTTGATATTTGGGGATGTGAAGACATACAGGAATAATGAAAAACAATAAGTAAACACTGAATTGCAGTATAGTACCTATTCAATAATTCATCTCTCTCTACATAGCTTCTAAGTTTCACCTTTAAGCTCCTTTTATTCCACTTTAAGCGTTTAAAGAAGAATAATATAGCTTCGATAAGTTAGATCTATTTTTATTTTCCCCTTGCAATATTTTATCTTTGAATATATATTTGTGGAATGTAAGCTTAATAATATACTTTTTTCTTGTAGAAAATTGACTGTTTTATGTTTTTTGTTACTGTGCTATAATTAGGTGTAGCAAGTTTATTAGTTCGTTTAGTGAAATTTAATTAAAATTCCCCTTAAATTTGCCCTGGATGAAGGAGTAACTTCAATGGCAGGTGTCATATTACCCAAAACCAGTTCTGTATAACTGAACACATTGGAGAAATTTCAGAAAAATGTGGTTCAATTGTAGTTTTGAATCTCATTGACTTATTTAGGGCTACTTTATATTCATTTTTTATTATTTTTCAATTGGTAGTGTTCGTGTATAAAATCCAAGTTAATGAGCTCTAATTAAAGTTAATTTGTTTAAAAATAAAAGATCAAAAATAAATTTAATTTCCTGCCAGATATATGCTTTCTAGGAGTTTATAGCAGTATAGTTTGAATCTGAAGAAAAAGACTAAACAGTTACTTAGTAAGAGAAGAATAGATGCTTATTAGGAAAACTAGTTCTGAGTCATATTGGAAAGCAGGAGTGATACTTGAGGATATATTAAAAAATACAGCTGATGAAAAGCCATTTTATAGGATATTTAAAAATATATGTTTAGTATTTTAGACTTTTCAAAGTGCTTTCACACATATACATTATTTTTTGAGAGAAAGAAGAGAAACTTGATGAGATGCAAAGAGGTAGAAACTTGACCAAGGTCATATGGCCAGTTAGCATTAGAATCTAGTTTTCTGAATATTCTGTTTTTTCTTTTTTTCCCCCAAATTAATAGGAATTGCTACTGAAATTGGAGATAGCCTAGAAAAACAGGCAAAATTAACAGGGTGCCAAAATGAATTCACTTTTAGTGCATTATTAAAAACGGTGTAGCATTTAGAATTGTGTTACCTATAGAAGTATGAGTGCAGTTAGAGGTTATCAAATTGTTATCAGTGGAATAGGGAACATTTCAGAGTCTCAGAAATGGAAGTTTGTAAATATGGAGGATTTTCTGTACCTGAAAACATGACTGTGGTGAAATTCTTGAGTTGTGATGTCACTTCATTGTAGCTCACATGGTCCTGGAAAAGTAAGCCCTCAGGAAAACAGGCCCAACCAAGAGTTATGATCACTGTTTTTCAGTGCTGAAACTGCTGATACCTCTTTCTTTTTGTGTAGACATAGCCATTACCACCTGACAGTAGTATTTGTGACTAAGCCTTCGTTGATAATGAGAAGGCCCCATCAGCAGTGGTGCATCTTCTGCACCATCAGCAAATCCTGTGAAATGCTGAGGGGTTACAAAACAGGGACTGGCTGAAAGCAGTTTAAGGGAGCTTTCCTGTTGACTGGTGAGAAGCCTGCCGGTTAACAATAGTACAGACTTGGAAGGTTTGACAGACTAGGCTCTGCCATGCGCTAGCTTTAATATAATTATTAACATTAGGCAAAGGACAGAATAGAATCATCATTCAAGGGCACTGTTAAGATTACTTCACACCGGGGTTGAAAAAGCCAAGCACAAACAAGCCAGTGGGATCACAAACTACAGTTCTAGGCCAGGCTATTTAGTAATAGAGGACTTGTTAATTCAAAAGACAGATCTAGTGTTATATACAAAGTCCAGATAGGGGTCATAAAGCATTTAGGAAGCATCACTGTGTCCTGGAGAAAATGTAAACTTTTGCCTTTTTGTTGTTGTTTGTTGTTTAAACAGTCCTTTATTTGAGGAAACCTATGGGTAAGAAAAGCTTTAAAAGCCTGTTACCAAAAGGGTAAAGAATAAGAGTAGGCAGATATGTTTTGGTATGCTTGTATAAGACCTCAAATTGCATTTTATCATCGAAACAGTATTAAATGCAGATATTTGTTATCAATAACTACTTTTGTATATGCTTTATAATTTCCCAAGCACTTGCTATGCATTTGATGCTCAAAAGACTGAGGAAGATAGGGCAGGAATTACTGATTTCATTCATTCAGTGAATATTCATTGAATATCAGGCACTATTCTGAATGTTTAGGATACATTAAAGAACAAAGCTAAGATTCTCCAAAAGGGTTTATATTCTAGTGAGACAAGCAAAACATGAACAGTGATAATAAGTTCTGTAGTATGTAGAAAGTGGTAAGTTATGGGAGAAGAAAGAGCAGTTTAAAGGGGAATTGATTGGCAAGAGATGGAGGTGGGCATGTGGGAGAAGTCAAACAGGTTAGATAATAGATTGTAGTTCAGCCAACTTGAAGAAAGTGGGGCAGAGAGCTATGGGAAATCCAAGCAAAGAGCAGCCAGTACAAAGGTCCTAAGACCTTTGAATGCTTGGTAGGCTCACAGCAAGGAGGCCAGTGAGTGTGCAGTAGGGTGGGATTGGAAGAGAATGCCATAGAATATCTGTTTAAAGACAAACTCAAATTCCTATAATCTAAAAGATATAGCCAAAAGTTTGGTTAAGGTAGAACTTGAAACTACTTATATGACTCTAGATTAGTTGCTTCTGTGAATATTTTTCCTCATATTTTCAGAAAGGGAGGATTAAAAAAAGAAATAATGACTGATTAATGACCTATATTATAATTTACACTTTATTTTTATTTGACAGTCTTTATTACATCAGTCTCAGCTAGTCTGAGTTTATTTTCACACACTGTTTTTACTAAAGGAGAAAATACAGCTTTCTCACAGTGTGATTTCATTCTCTGCTATGTATTTTAAGTTATTAATTAAATTGAAACCTAAGCTTTGAGTATGCTTTCCGAGATAACACAGTAATCATTTGACTTATTTAATACTAATTCAGAAGACCGTCTTTTATATTTATCATTTCATTCTACATCCTCTAATCTTTTTTTTAAAGATATGGCTATAATGCCGGAGAAGCTACCCACAATGCAGTGGATTCTGCTGTCAATGTTGGTGTGACTGCCTACAATATTAACAACATTGGTATCAAAGCAATGGTGAAGAAAACTGCAACACAAACAGGACACACTCTCCTTGAGGACTATCAGATAGTGGATCATTCTCAGAGGGAAAATCAAGAAGGAGCAGCAAATGTCAGTGTGAGAGGAGAGAAGGATGAGCAGACGAAGGAAGTAAAGGAGACGAAGAAAGATAAATGATGGAGCACTGGGGATCACCTATACCAAAGCCTTATGAAATGGATGAAATTTTGTTAAATAGACAAATGTGGAATTCCTCACAGATTAACCAGTATTTTTTAAATGTATTCATTCCTACAAATTACCTTTCATAAACTTTATGGCATGTCTTCTATTTAAAAGGAAAAGAATAAGTATTCTTGCATCTAATCTTAGAAATATGAAGTTATATTCTCAAGTTTATTTTTTTCCAAATGTAGCTGAAATATTTTTGCAGGTAAAATAAAGCTAATAATATGTGTGCTATTTATACCTTATTAAACCTAATGTTGAGCTATTTTTATATCTGCTATCTTTCAGAAAGCGAAATTAGTAAACTATAGATTTGCTTAAAACTGGCATTTAGTAACCTTAATTCTTTTTATAGAAGGAATGACTTAAAGTATCGTCTCCTCTTTTTGCACTAATTGTGGATTTTTTTAGATGCTTCTCAAAATTTTCAGTGCATAAGCTAAACAAAAACTAATCCTAAACTAAGAATTCTCAAAAAGACTTGTTCAAAACAGGGAAAAGACTCATGAAAAGTAAAATGGACTACATTTGTAACTTACCTGTTTGTTAGGAAATGGTCTTTTTTATTTAAAATGAATACAAATAGATTATTAAGTCTTTTGTATTGAGACTGGTATTATTCTCTTATGAGCCTAGGAAGTTTGGGAGCATTGTTGCATTGTATTAAAATTCAACATGATTATTAAAAGCCTAATTGGATAAAAAAGTACTTTATGAAATTATTTTACCATATCTGCTTCTGTTTTTCCAAAAGGTTAAAACTTGTAAAAAAAAAAATAATAATAATAATATATATATATAAACATAATTGAGTTTACTAATGGTAAATATTTTTATTCTGGGATTCTGTCACTGGAATTTATATTAAAAGACAAGTTTCTGAAAAGGAAAGGTTCTATTCATAATCAAGGTAAAGAATATGAAAACCTTAGGCGTAATCCATGGTGGATAGGCATTATGGTTTCCACTTTGGCAGAAGGCAGACTATTCACAGACCTGTTTACTTACATAGGCCAACAAACTGTGTAAGTAAATACCTAATGGAATTTTATTTTTGTTTATTGAATTTAAGAGATACTAGTTTTCATAGCTGTAGTCCATTCTAATAATTTCATCTTCTAGTGGCTACTTAATTAGACTTTATTTGAAGCTGTCTGAAGGATGTACTTTGTGAATAAAAAACTCTGAATTGCCTGACCTCATTATCACATGGGCTTATATTTCGGGAACACATAGAACTGATGGAGGCTTTTTCTAAGGCCAAGGAAAATGTACTAGTTGTTAAAATGGAAATAAAAGTGAATTGGTAAATAGCTTACATACAATCTATGCTTTGTTCAAATTTAAGAAATGGAACTTCACATATTCTCATTTGTGGGAGCTAAAAATTACAGTTGAACTCATGGAGATAGGGAGTAGAATGATGGTTACCAGAGGCCAGGAGACATTGAAGGGATGGGAGGGAAGTAGAATTGATTAATGGGTACAAAAATATAGTTAGAATGAATTAATTCTAATATTTGGTAACCCAACAAGGTGACTACAGTCAACAGTAACTTTTTATACATTTAAAAATAAAAGAGTGTAATTGGAACATTTGTAACACAAATGATGAATGCTTGAAGCAAGAGATATACCCTTATGTGATGAATATAAATTGCATACCTGTATCAAAATATGTGTCCTATAAATATATACACCTACCATGTACCCATAAAAATTAGGCCAGGCACTGTGGCTTAAGTCCGTAATCACAGCACTTTGGGTGGCTGAGGCAGGCGGATCACCTGAGGACAGGAGTTCAAGACTAGCCTGACCAACGTGGAGAAACTCCATCTCTACTGAAAATACAAAATTAGCGGGGCATGGTGGTGCATGCCTATAATCCCAGCTACTCGGGAGACTGAGGCAGGAGAACTTCTTGAACCTGGGAGGCGGAGGTTGCAGTGAGCCGAGATGGCACCATTGCACTCCAGCCTGGGCACTCCATCTCAAAAAAAAAAAAAAAAAAGAAAAATTTTTTTAAAATTAAAAAAAAAAAATGGAATGGCAAGTAACGGGATGTATACTTGAAAAAGTTACCTTTGACCTTTGACCAGAGGTCAGCAAGTATTTTCCATGGGCTAAATCCAGATGGCCACCTGTTTTCATAAATAAAGTTGTATGGAGCACAGCCATACCCATTTGTTTACATATTGGCTATGGCTGCTGTCTCGTTCAACATGAGAGTTGAGTAGTTGCATTAGAGACTATATGTGGCCCACAAGGCTAACATTCACTCTCTGGCCCTTTGCAGAAAAAGTAGGCTGCCTTAGAGTATAGAAAATGGACTTTTCCCACCATTCCACTGAATCATTAGGAGATAGGTGTCTTCTAAAGATTTTTTTGTGTAATAATACATAGATAAAATTGTACATAATATGTAAGGTATGATGAATAACGGAATTAACACTTATAAACTCATCACCTAACTAAAGACATGGAAAGCTGGCAATTACATTTATGTATATGTTCTTCCTAACTTCTTTCCCACATCATTATTTTTTATTGTTCCTTGCTCTTTTTTTTTTTTCTTTGGGACGGAGTTTCGCTCTTGTTACCCAGGCTGGAGTGCAATGGCGTGATCTCGGCTCACCGCAACCTCCGCCTCCTGGGTTCAGGCAATTCTCCTGCCTCAGCCTCCTGAGTAGCTGGGATTACAGGCACGCGCCACCATGCCCAGCTAATTTTTTGTATTTTTAGTAGAGACGGGGTTTCACCGTGTTGAACAGGATGGTCTCGATCTCCTGACCTCGTGATCCACCCGCCTCAGCCTCCCAAAGTGCTGGGATTACAGGCCTGAGCCACCGCGCCCAGCCTGCTCTTTTTTAATGACACGTATATTCTCCAAACATACTGTTTCATTTTAAAAGATTTCTTCATATATTAATGTGAAGTCTTATTCAACTTGCTTTTTTGAGTTTATGTTTAAAATTCATTCTTGTGCTTATATGCATGGATGGTTTAGTTGCTGTATAATATTCTGTGTGAGTATACCACAATTTATTCATTTCCCTATCAGTTGACATTTGTTTTTAGTTTTTGTTGGTAGAAACAGTACACTCAAAACATTTTTGAATGTCCCCTGGTACACATATGCAAGAGATTTTATACATAAGAGTGGAGTTGTTAGCTCATCAAGGGTTGGCCAGTTTTAACTTTGCAAAATAATGCTAGGTATTTTCCAAAATGATGGTATTCTCTTAGTAGTATTTCCCTTGGCAATGTTTTTATTGTTAATGTAGCATATATAAAAAAGTATCTCATAGTTTTAATGTGTTTTCCTGATCTCCTTTCCTGACCTTAGTAATTTTTCATGTTCATTTGCCATTCATTTCCCTCTACTGTAAAATTTGCCTGTTTGTCACTGCGGACAGTTTTGCTTTTCACATTTAGGTGTTTACTGAGAATTATGTGTGTGTGTGTGCAAGATGTAAGGTATCTAATTCTGTCTCCCCCCACCCCCACAGTGGATAATCAATTATCTTCCATTTATTGAATGGTAATCTTTTCTTCAGTAATCTCCCACAGGTCTTTATATATCAAGTGTGAGTGTTTCTGGGCTCAGAGATGTTTCTGGGCTCCGTCTGTCATTTCCTTTGTTCTGGTGCCACACTGTCATCATTATAAATAGTAAGTCCTACTGATTGTTAGGGCAAGAGGCTCAATTCCCTCGACCAAAGTCTTTAAGAGTATTTTGGCTGATTAAACAAGTACCATAAGGAGTTTAAAATCTTCCCACAAAGAAACATCACCCCAGATGGACTTACAGGTGAGTTCTAACATACCTTAAGAAAACAATGTTACATTGGGTACAGTGGCACACATCTGTAATCCCAACATTTTGGGAGGCTGAGGTTGGGTAGATTCTCTTGAGTCCAGGAGTTTGAGACCAGCCTGGGCAACATAATGAGACCAAAGATATTGTTGGACATTGTGAATTTTACCTTACTGGGTACTGGATGTTTTGTGTTTCTGTAAGTATTCTTGAGCTTTTGTCTTGAGATGGGATTAAGTTACTTAGAACCAGTTGGATACTTTTGGATCTTTCTTTTAAACTTGTTAGGGCTAGATTTTTTTCTACTCCTAAAGCAAAATCATGTGTGCCTCATGCCCTGTGAATTCAGAGGTTTTCCATTCTGGTGGGTGGCAGCAGGTATTTATTCGCACCTTTGTAAACTGTCTTCTAATCCTTTGTGGTGGTTCTTTCCCTGGCCCGAGTACTGAGCATTCATCAGTACTCCACTGCAGAGTGTACCCTGTGGCAGGCCAGGTCTCAATAACACAGGCCTCCATAACATCTGTTTCAGTACTGACTGAATGGTTAAATACTAAAAGCTAAAAAAGCCAAGGCCCTTACACAAAAGCTATAATGTAACAAAAGCCCACCAAGAGTTTTACCTGGGCCTTTCCTGGGCCTTAAAACATGACAAAATAAGGAAGGAATTCTTAACAGTACCCATTTATGATTAAACAAGTTTCTTGGGGGTCTGACGGAATCCTGAAACCTCCCTGGATTAGCAGGAGACAAGGGTCATCACCCCAGCACCTGGACCCATTTAGATTAAATTTACTGATGCTCCAGAGAAAGGTCTTCAGGACTCAGACCTTAGCTGTAGATTAAAAGAAGTTAATCACTTGTGTCTTAAGATGAATGCAGACTTACATGTAGACATAAAGTTTAGAAGGTATATAAGCTCTGGAAAACTAATTTTGAGTTGGTCTGGTGATAATTTCCAGGCCTTCTCTGTGTAACTGGTTGCAGAAATAAAAACTCTCTTCCTCCTCAGTTCATCTGCATATTGTTTTTAGGTCACGAGAAATAGCAGCCCCACTCCCAGTTTAGTCTGGGAACACCCTTTGCAGCTCTCTCTAATAACTGCCCTGAAAAGTCTAGCTGCTTGTTCTCCCTAGACTCTTAGAGAAACTCTTTCCTCAACTTAGGGCAACCACCAGCCTCTGCCTCTGTTCCCCCTTTCTGCTTTGTACCCTGGCCTTTGGAGCTTGCCTCATTTGTGTCCCATCTCTTGGTGATCATTGTCCCTTACTGCTTGATGTTCAATGTCTTCAAAACCATTGTTACTCCTTCCCCCAGCTTTTTAGTTATTTCAGGCAAGAGGGTAAATTCAGTTCCTTTGTCTCTACAGATCTGTAGTTTCTGTAGCTGTTGACAAACCTGTTTTCTGCTTGCCTTTGTTCTTAATTTCCCACTGTGAGATCCTGCTAACAGACTTTTTTTTTTTTTTTTTTTTTTTTTTTTTTTTT